ATATATATATATATATATAAAAGAATACAAATATTACTTCAATTCTTATTTCTCCTCACTCCCTGCGTATTTATATAAATATTTATACACGTTGAAAATTTGAATTAAAAAAATAAAAAAATACTTATAAAAATATACAAAGTATTATTAAGGGGTTTATGCGTGTGAAAAACAAATATACTTTTATAATAAATATTCATTGTTAAGAGTCACATTTTTGCAATAATATATAAAAATTAGTATATATTTACACATTTCCGATATACATACGTACATACATACATACATGTATAATACAGGGTGTCCCAGGGACACATATCTGGGACAATGCTCGTGTATAGGTAGAATGAATTAAACTGAATGGAAAAGTCCTGTAGCATTTTGTAATTTTTGTAATAGTATGTTAATAGTCAATGCAAGCGCATGGCAAGATACAATTGCATGAACAGTTATTTTCTTTTGCCGTCGTGCGTTAAAACTACTGCTGTTTATAGTAAACTCCCGGCCTAACGACCACGACCGATGAGCGTGTATTTGAGGCCAGGTAGATATGCGCTTATTCGACAATCTTTAGAAATTAATATCTCGTTAACTACTGCGAAAATTGAAAGAAGATAGAAGACTCCTTTCAACAAACTCAGTTTAATCTGCTCTATTTGCACACGAGTATTGTTCTAATATTCTGGGACCCCTGTAAACATATAATTAATTTTAATTTCTATTGCTGTTGAGTAGTTTGTGCTAGTTGACGTAATTGCTTTAATACAGTTTCAAGCAATTTCTTTTTGTCTCTTTCGCTTTTTTTTAACACAGAGAACACCGTTTTCTTATCAGATTCTTTCAATCTAAAAACACATATGTTAATATATCAATACAATGATGCACAATAATACATACAAAACAAAGATGCAAATAATATATATATAGTATGTACTTTTCTAGCAGAAGCACAGCCATATTTGGAGTTACTAAATCATATTTACTAGAATCATGACCATAATCATGAAAATAAGTAGGCCAGTCCCAACTCATAAATAAATCTAGTAACTGTCGCAATTGCGAAAAGTACTGCAACAAAGTTCCTTCTGGTAAACCGACAACTGGTTCAGAAGCAGCAAATTCTGAAAATTGTAATAATTTGAATTTTTATATTCGAAAATATATATATATTATGATGAAACATTATATTAAAAAAATATAAAAATTTACGTTCGCACTGTATTGTATCCAAATTGACTTGCTGCAATGCACCCATAGATATTTGTTTCACATCTTCACTAATTAATATGTCTAATATAGCTTTGGCGATGTGGGAACACGCAGATTTACATGCTACTTGAGCTACTTTATCCTGAAATGTTAATATTATCGGTTTATTATATTTAAAAAATCACATACGTATATTATGTCGCAATATTTACCGGTAAATTGGTGAAACATGTGAAAGTGCTCTGTAAAAACGCAATAAGATCTGTAATAAATCCCGAGGCATGTCCTTGAGGTTCCGTCAAGTTCCAATCATAATTCTCTAATTCCAAAAATTCATCCAGCTTATTTTTCAGTTTATCGCAAATTTGCTTCTCAGCATCTTCACGTGCAACTCGAAACATAGCAGATTCCACGTCCATACAACTTAATTGACCTTGATGCGATGTGCTAAAAAAAATTATACATGCTTAATGGATCACAAAAGAAATAACATTATTATAATATATTAGATGTTTACCCAGTAATATTAGTCACAAATTCTTCTAAATACTTCGTAGATTTCTCGAGATATCCGGTATTTATAATAATTTGTACTACTTGTAAAAGTGCTAACGATGGTTTGCGAAATAACGATGATAAGCATCCGCTGAAAGTTCTTGTTAATAACAAATTTGTCGATTTGCATATCATTTCATCAATTTCCGTTTGCGTGAAGTTCAAATCCTCTGAGAATTTTAAACAAGCGTAGATAAATTCTTTCACTTGCTGGTACACTTTCGGTACCATATCAGAAAATGGAAATTTCTTCGGAAACTCGGCCTTTTGCAATTCATCATCGTGATAAGGAAATAGATTCAAAACTTTGTCGTATTCTGCTTGTGTTGTAACCTAGAACGTGATGACCGAGTAAATATAAAAAATAATAAATAATTCAGCAGTCTCTGGTTATAGAGATTAAATGTTTCATAAATATGAATGATAATTACCTGAATTGGCAAGAAACTATCTTCATCCAAAATATCTCTGAATACTTGAACCCAATGTTGCATCAACACTTCGTTATAATGTACTCTAATTTCTTGTAACAAATCCCATAATTGTTCTACAGAGTAGCCGTAATCCTGTTTATAAATAATAGAAAAAAAAACCGTTTAAATCATATATGCATATCTCTCTCATATGAACGATAAAAGATGAATGCACTTTGCTACCTACCCTTAAAGTAGTGTTAAATAGCATAATAAGATTTTTTATTTTTAATATAAGTGTAGCGTCTGTGCAACATGCCTAAAAAATATAATTCTCTTATATTAATTATAATTATAAAATATAACAGTGTGTATATAATAATTTACCGAATATGTGCGCAAAGCATACACTATGGTAGACAAAGCCTTGGTCCAAAGCTCGTCCAAGTATGAGCGAGTAGCTAATCCGTTACCTGTATTCAATATATGATCCTCTACCACAAAGAAACCAATGATACCGTGTAAATAAGTCTGATATTCGACTATACTCTCGTGCTAAAAGTAAAACACTATCTCATTACTAGAACACAAACATGAAAAATATTCAGTGGTAGAATTTACCATATTAATAGGTGGCTCCAAAACTAGCTCAGCTTGCTGTTTTCTTTGTTGCCTATAATACAGTTTAAAAGTTTCTCCTTCTCTGAGCACAGTATAGATATGCATACATCGATATACAGGACTGAAATCCATTAAATCTTGGGCACTTAATTCCTCCTCTATTTCGTTTGACTGATTCGCGTATGTTCTCTTTTTTTTTCTTCCTACAATTTCTGCCTCAGTCGCTAACTGTTCAGCGGTCTGATATAAAAAGTTGCTAAAGTTGACAAATTATACATAGATAATAAACCTACCTAGATTATATACCATATAATTATAGACATTAAATAAAAATAAAAGAAAATACCAACATGTCTCATTGCAACTTCCCCGATTTTTGGCGAATGTTTTATAATATTTTCTAGAAAATCTCTTAAATCAGACATAGATGCATCTTTTATATTCTCACGCAATCTAGAAGAAAGACAATTCCACAATGTTTTGTACTGTTACATATAACACAGCGAGATACTCAAGAAAGATTTTTTTCAATTACTTACTGTGGAATTTGTTGAGTAATTTGAGAAGAAAACCTATAATTCGTAACTTTCGGTAGATCATGATGCTCCAATTGCTCTAGCGTTTTCAAGGCTGGATAGTAACGTTTATCTTTTAATTGTTTTTGCAACTTTGCATATGCGGCTAAGACAGGAAGGCACATAGTGAGACTGTCTACAGCAGCAGCCATGTTGCTCTCAACTTTGCGAGCCTTTACGAGTTCCTCGCCTTTCTCGATCACTTTGGTAGATGTGGCGGTGATGCATTTGTCAAGCTCCAATATCTCTGACTATATAATAACGAGGTTGAATTAAAGAGTAATTTATATATACAATGGCTGCCAAAAGTTTCAGGCCAGTGTATAATTTTACAATAATTTTTGTCAATATTGTTTTTCCGTTTAAGAATATATTTAATAGAATTTTTATTACAATCAACTTAAGAACACGGTATTTTAACTGCTAAAATATATTAAGTACTTGTATATTAAATCTTCATTTGTAAAAATTATTTACTTGAGCATACAATAAAATTATTCAATGGCAGAAAACTTTTTGATAATCCTGCTAAACCTGCTACGTCATAGTTAAATATTTTTATTGTCATTAATTATTTTCAAACATAAAACTAACATTTAATTGTTGTGCCTGCGACCGAACTTGCAAGAGCTCCCGAACTGAATCATTAAATCCTTGGTAATGATGATTGCACATCCTCTCGATGTCCTTATCATGAGCTTTAATACGGTCTTCGAGTTTCTCCATAAATTTCTGATGCTCGTGGCCATCGTAAATCGCTCTGTAATGTAAATTAAATGTGACGACAGTTCTCGTCATCTTTTATGATGAATATATATTCATTAGTATTACACTAAATTAGTATATATTAAGGACTGTTTTGTACAAAGTATCTATATGTGGCAACATAATATAACCAACTTTGACAATGGAATATATATATATATATATTTTATTAGACAAATGCATAATATCATAAACATTTTTGGGTATTTAATCATTTAAAATATTTATATGCTTTACATTTAGCTTTGCTAATTTTATGCATAGTAGCT